TCAACATGTCCCTTCATGCTAAAGCTTATTCTCTTCATTAGCAGTATGGTCATTCAATCTTTATGCCCCGTGGTTCCTAATGCACATATAATGTGATACAACGCCTTCTTTAAAATACGCTGCCATCAATATTCCGCTTTAAATGTCCTACAAGAAACAAAACTGGTAAAAGTGTTGGCTATAAGAGTTGAGAATGAAGCCAAACAGAACCCATAAATACGCCCTGTGTTAAGCATTTAGTCATTCACTATCTCATCAGTTATTTAGCTAACTTAAGCGGCTAAGATGTGCTTTTGTTTGACCATCAATACGGGAATGAGTCACTAAGAGCAGCCGGGGCCGTTTCTAGCTTTTTGGGGGCCCTATGCAAGATGCTGTTTGGGGGCCCTAGTTTTGACTACAATGGGGGGGGATTCCGAAGCCTTTAAAGGTCCCATGTCATGGCCATTTCCACTGATCATAATTCCATTGTTGAGGTCTACTAGAATAGATTTATATTGTGCAATTTTCCAAAATCACTTTGGTTTCTCATACAGCATCTCTGTAAACTACGTGTATTCACTGAATTTCACTCTCTGCCTTTAACGGCTCGTTGTAGCTCCAATAGCTCCAGCCCCCACCCTCCCTGTGAGCACAGTGTGCTCTGATTGGTCGGGACGTTGTGAATCGAGCTGAGCTCCGTGGAGGTGTGGTTTCCTTGTTTAGCGATACACAGCCAAACACAGCCAAACTCACCCTGAGCACACACAAAGTCACAGCCGAAGTAAAAACAATAAGTGTGGCTTGATATTGAGTAAGAAAAAGGTTGATAAACGCTGTGAGAATGGGTCTGCACAGAGAATTTTGCCACGATCCCAACTGTCTGTTATAGTAGCCAGGGAGGAGAGATCAGCAGCGCTGCATGCACTGAGTGTGTGTGTGAGGAAGTCCGTGGATTGGTCAATTTGGACCAATCAGCAGGGGCTTAACGTAACGGCTCCGCGGACGTAACGTAACGGCTCCACGGATTGGTCCATTTGGTTCCGGGTAACGCATGACATCATGAGTTACCCGGAAGAATCAATGGACAGTGACGTATCTCCACGAGGCGTTTTGGGGAGATATTTTCTGTGTTAGAGTTTTACTCGCTACAGGGTGTACTTTGAGGGTTTTGACTCTGCAGACCGTTTACATGCATAAAAACCTTCATAACACACAAGGGGACGGGTAATAACCGGAAAAGCATGACATGGGACCTTTAAGATGATCTGTGGAGATGCATCAATCTGTTACACTTTAATAGGAAAACAGGCTAATTTCACGAAAACCAAGCAATTGAAAATTACAAAAAATGATATTAAAAAGGTAAACAATAAGGCTCCTCTATGTCAATAAATGCAAGAGATGCAGCATTTTCTCAGCTGTCAGCCCAACGATGATTTAATAATAATAATTTCAATTTATATAGCGCCTTTCACGAAACCCAAGGACGCTTTACAATGGGAAGTAACAAAACAAAAAGTAATAATAATCATACATAGGCTGATTTGGACTTTATTACCCCAAAAACCCAAGCCACAGTTTTGCTATCATTGCAGTTTAGTCGTGTTTATATCCTACATTGGATTTGTAAGCATATAATGCTTCACCGAACACTCACAGGAGGGGGCTTGGCTGTCTGCAAATAAAGACGGCTCATTTTAATTCTCCCCAAATATATTGAGGCTGAACCTGAACTTTGAATTATCTGCTCCCATCATAATCTTGGCGATCTTGTTAAAATTGTGAATGCAGAATTAAAAATACTATGTAACTGGTTTACAGTTAATAAATTATCCCTTGATGTGGCCAAAACAAATTACATGTTATTCAATACAAAGTCTGAGAGTAGAAATGACTGCATTATACGGATTTGCAATACAGAGATAGAAAAAGTTGGTGCATGTACATTTTTAGGACTGCTTGTTGAAGAAAAACTCAATTGGAAGCACTATATAAATTATGTACAGACTAAACTGTCAAAAACAATAGGTATTTTGTATCATACTAAGAACATTCTTGAAGAAAATATACTCTTTATAACAGTCTATTTCTCCCTTACCTTTAATACTGCTCCGAAATATGGGGAAACACGTACTCAACAAATCTACAAAAAATAATAACATCCCAAAAAAAAGTATTACGAATAGCCTGTGGTGTTGGTAAATATGAACACACAACTCCCATATTTTAAAAAACTCAATCTATTAAAATGTGTTGAGATAGTACAGCTTAAAACAGTACTGATTATGCACAACATTTTCCATAACAAAATGCCTAATAACATTCAAAGCAGTTCCAAACCACAGCGTGAACATATATGAATGTAAAAAAGGTCACTTGAAAATAAGTGTTCACAATGTTTATATGCAATTATGCATATAAACATATTATTATTATTATTATTCATTTGCCAAGTGTATATATTTATACATAGTATTTTAATTTCCAAAAAAAGATAGTTGAAACTGCTATTGACATGTGCAGAAAATGACCCTATATCTAGTTTTCGTATATATATGCATTTATTGTTTTCCTGCCCTAACTTTTATTTAATTTGTTTTCTTAATTTTTTTGTACTCCTTCATTTCTATACGTTTTTGATGCAATAATGCCGCTGTATTAGGATGATGCACGGGAGGGCTACTTTCCACAAGCTATGCTTCAGCCCTCCCGCTTCTACTAATTTTGTTCATCTTTGTGTGTATGAATTACACTTTTTTTGTTTTTCGGATGAATAAAAAAAAAATACTTTCAGCTTGGGGGCCCCCTAGTGGCCGCGGGGGCCCTATGCCCCCGCATAGTCCGCATATAGGAAGAAACGGCCCTGAGAGCAGCTTCCAGGCGGACAATAGTCTGCTACCAGCCGCTGAAGGCAGAGCTCAATTATAGCAGGCTTTGTGTAACTCCTGTTCCTCACCTCTTGTATTATATTTCCTCTTCTTACACTGCACAATTAACGATAAACCCATCTCTGTGGACATCCGTGTCGCTAATTTGTGCCTCGGGGTGCACGGGGTGATAACACTGGAACACAATGGGAGGCGAGTGAGCACATGTTTGGCTCATCTACGACGGTTAATGGAAGTTCTCAGCTATTGTTCGTCTCTGCTCCCTTTGATGGACTTTTCCTTTCACTGTACATCCTTCATCTTACAGGGAAACGATGTTGTGATAGAGAGCTTAATTTCCCCCAGTAATCGTATTATCATAGCAGTTCATCAGTGGCAGCAGGGTAAATGTGTCAAGTTATTAGGGTGCTTTAGGTTAATTGGATAAGATGCAGCCTCTTGGTATTGGTTTATGTTATTATCTTTTGTGCATACCAAAATACACATAGAGACAAAATGGATAAAAACAGTACAATGCATCAGTAAGTAGCCTGAGGAAATGGATTGCATGTATTCTCGCCTACAAAGCCCATAATGGGCAGGCGCCATCATACCTTAAAGAACTCATTATACCCTACTGTCCTACTAGGGCATTGCGTTCCAAGAATGCAGGGTTGTTGGTTGTTCCTAGAGTCTCTAAAAGTACAATGGGAGCCAGAGCCTTTTCTTATCAAGCTTCACATTGTGGAATCAGCTTCCAGTTTGTGTTCGGGCGCCAGACACCCTATCCGTTTTTAAGAGTACGCTTAAGACCTTCCTTTTTGATAAAGCTTATAGTGATAAAATAAAATAATCTAATAAGAGTGCATTGACGTAGACACGTTGTGCCTCTTCACCTATACATTTGAGTTCTTACTCTTTCACTTAAATCCTAAAAACTTAGATCTTATATTTAAAACTTTATCCAAAACCTTTCCCCTCTCTGACCTCTCGAGGTTCTATTAGAGGGTAACAGGTTGCAGAGAGGCCTATTCCGGCCGAGGAGTGTGGAACGTAGTCACAGACCTACTCCTTACTGTACCTCTCACCAATTCCAATTAAGGTTCCAGTGGGGACCTTTCTCCCTGCGTCTGCCTCTCCACCTCTGTTTCTTCTTACTTGCTACCCTTTTCCCTCAACCTATCCTAAGGGAGTGCATGTACGTAGACACGTTGTTCCTCTCCACCTCTGTTCCTTACTTCTTACTTGCTACCCCTTATCCCTCAACCTATCCTAAGGGAGTGCATGTACGTAGACACGTTAGTTTAGCTGCTATAGGCTTAGACTGTCGGGGGGGACACCTTACTTCTTCCTTCTGTCTGTCTGTACCTGTGTACTCTCATGTTCCGATTAACCCAGCTTCCCCCAAATTTCTTTTTTGTGTCTATATCTACGCCGGGATCCTGAGTCTAGGCTGATCCTGTTGCTGTGGTCCTGTGTCCTGGATCCTCTATCCTGAGTTCTGGATCTGAGTCCTGGACTTCGCTGTGGTCCTGCCTGACTCTCATCATACTTCCCTGATGGCTCTCACAGGATTGTTGACATCCTCGTGGATTCATCTTATTATTATAGACACGTGCATTTCCAAACATTTGGTCTTTCCAAACATTTGGTCTACCTACGCTGTAAAATGTATTGTCTCTTTGATTTACACACGGCATCTATTGCACGTCTGTCCGTCCTGGGAGAGGGATCCCTCCTCTGTTGCTCTCCCTGAGGTTTCTCCCATGTTCCCTTTAAACTGTGGGTTTTCTCTGGAAGTTTTTCCTTGTACGATGTGAGGGTCTAAGGACAGAGGGTGTCGTATTGTCATACTGATATTCTGTACAAACTGTGAAGTCCACTGAGACAAATGTAACAATTGTGATATTGGGCTATATAAATAAACATTGATGGATTGATTGAATTCACACAAACAGATATAAGTGTATCTTGCTCCAAAATGAATGCATGATAAAGGCCAATGATGTGCCCTTCAGAATGGTTATGAAAGAGCTTTCTAAAAGGGAATAAAGAAAAAACACTTCACCCAATGATAGTTGGACAATTGAGTATATGCATGTCTACTGTAAAGGATATATTGTGCATTGAATTGAATGTTAGATACCTAAGAGGGCTGCCTATATGTTTAGCTGCAACAGGTTAAACACAAGTGTGGTGAGATGGGTTGCTGTCAGATATTTCTGAAGTTTATTTTTATTTTTCAGGCCTGAGATTTTTAAAGAGTGACTGCTAACGTAGCTGCAATCCCTTCTGAGAACATGGTTTGTTTTTAGATTTGAACAGGCAGCTAGAATCCACTTCAGTTTTCCGGGCCTTATTCAAAGTGTCTGTGTCTGTGGCATGGCTCTGACGTAAACACTGCTTGCCTTCACAAGCTGACAGCACTGAGGGTTTAGGTTGTGTGTAGACATAACTGACAGATAGTACCCAAGCATGGGCCCCCTGCAGTTTAGCCAATTACAGGGAGCCATTTTCATCACACCCCCAAGCTGACCGAATCAATGAATGGTGCAAAATGGATATATTCTCTGTCCACAGTGTGTGCCAGGCCCCTTGACCTGGCACTCTCTGTCCACAGTGTGTGCCAGGCCCCTTGACCTGGCACACACTGCCTGGACAGCTGGCAGGTATCACGCGCCTTTCACTAGCAGCACTAAAGTGATCATACTCACTGAGATTCGGGATCTGCCTTCAGGAAAGTTTGGATTACCAGCGGTAACTCCGATTTCACAATGTACAGGTAGCTGGACATAGCTATAACAGAAAAGACAGACAAAAGGTGAACATTTGACCCAGCATGCCTGTGTGCTTACTGAGCAAATAGACATCGGCAAAGCCAAGTCACATAATTTGTGTGTAACTATCAGTGGTAGCTACTACTGAGGAAACCAAGGTCATATATGTGTGATTAAGCAATCAGGTTATCTTCTACAATTTGGAAGAGTGGTGGTATATTATCATCAAATTCAACTCTTTTTTTAATACGTTCAAAAGGTTTTAGAGCTACATTTATTTTAAATTCCACCTTTACCAAAGAATGATTTAGCTTGTTCTTATTGGTTAATCATATCAGTCATTTTAAAGCACTTTACCTCCAATATTCTGCAGAGTGATTGCTATACCAGCAGCCATTTTTCCAGGAGTGCCAAAGGCCCTGTATCCAAGTAGTTCATAAGCTCGAATTCCTGTGAACAGATTGCAATTACATTAGTATTTACTCAGTTATGTTGGCTGATAAGTGCCTTTGAGTAACACAATAAAATACAACAACAAAAAGTTATTTGTGAATGTTGGATTAAAACCATTTGTACATTTCATAGTTTTCATATTTTTTTAAAACAAGAAAACATGGACACACCAGATCATAGAATGCACTTATTTTTTAATTAGCCTTGTTATAATAAATCGAATCCATTAAAGAAGTTCAGTAAACTGGGAACTACATTTTTTTTATACAAATCCGTATATGTAAACAATTGTAATAATTGTATTTGATTGTACAACTGGAACAAGCAAATTGACTGCAATTATGTTTCAACAGTCACATTAAAACAGTTACTAAATCAGCCTACTATCACCTAAAGAATATATCTAGGATTAAAAGACTAATGTCACAGCAGGATTTGGAAAAACTTGTCCATGCTTTTATCTTCAGTAGACTCAACTACTGCAATGGTGTCTTCACAGGTCTCACTAAAAAATCTATTAGAAAGCTGCAGCTGATTCAGAACGCTGCTGCTCGAGTCCTCACTAACACTAAGAAAGTGGATCACATCACTCCTGTTCTGAAGTCTTTACACTGGCTTCCTGTGTGTCAAAGAATTGATTTCAAAATACTGCTGCTGGTTTATAAAGCACTGAATGGTTTAGGCCCAAAATACATTTCTGACCTCCTGCTAAATTATGAACCATCCAGATCTCTCAGGTCTTCAGGGACTGGTCAGCTTTCTGTCCCCAGAGTCAGAACTAAACATGGTAAAGCAGCGTTCAGTTATTATGCTCCAAATATCTGGAACAAACTCCCAGAAACCTGCAGGTCCGCTGCAACTCTGACTACTTTTAAATCCAGGCTGAAGACTTTTCTTTTTGTCGCTGCTTTTAATTGAACTATTCATATCTTAGACTGCACTGTAACTTTTATCCATGTACTTTTTTCTTTTAATGTTTAATTGACTGCACTGAAACTTTTATCCATGTATTTTTTTCTTTTAATGTTTATTTTATTAGCTTTTCTTTTTAATGACTGATTTTAAATGCCATTTTCTTAATCTCTAGTCCGATTACGTTTTGAGTCCTTTTTTTGGGAATAATTTGCTTGATTAATAGTCAGGAACCATTAATCAGATATCTATGTCACTTTGGATTATTCTGGTTGCATAAAGTTGGATACATGTCATGTAAAATTATGTATACATATATTTCTGATAACACAACTCAACACAATAATATGTAAAAATAAAAGCAGAGACAACACCCAAGGCTTACCCACAATGCCTGAGGATTTGAGCAGCAGATGAATGGAGTAAGATGACAAAGCTGCTACTGCAGTCAGAAGGAACCTGTGACAAAGTACAGAAACGAGAGTCGTAGACAAAACTCTATTACCACAAAGATATAGAGTGTTCCTCCTGAAGAGTCAAGACAGCACAGGGGTCTCAGGTCAGCAAAGGTCAGAGGTTGATCCCATATCTATCTGCTTTGTCAGACCTTTCCCAATATTTCTATAAAGTGTTTGTATCTTGTGTCACAACTGTAGTGAAAATATTCCAATGGCCCTTGTCTGTATAGGCAGAAGGATGAGGGTCGAGCCCTCATATTTCACCATCACCTCAAGCATAGCAACGGCTCTGTAAACTGCTGCAGCACAGGCAGTATGAGAAAAATGTCGTGGGTAAGACACTTCACCCCAAATTGCTCCTGTGGGAATTGCCCACAGTATTGAGTATGTAAGTCGCTTTGGATAAAAGCGTCTAACAAGTAACTTGTGATGTAACATTAAAGCATGGAGACATGTCACAGTAGAGACACTAAATACTGATATACAAGGGAAAGTCTTCTTTTTGGTTTTAGTGAAAATGCTTGTGTTTGGGAAGTAGTGAACATTTTAATGGATTCATTCTTAAAAGCGTTCAGCCAACAGATTTTTTGACATAGTTTTTCTGTTGTGACACGTAGCCCCATTACTTAAATTCATGTAGATTTTCATCAGTGTTTCGATTCTTCATTATACCGTGATGCCAGAAAAAATTTTGTTCAAGAATTGAAGGGAACACAGGTATTTGAAATACAAATGAATATTCCTTTAATTAAAACATTTGAAGGAATCTGAGTAATACCCCATCACTGGATGTGGTTGGGTCTTTGTTTGCAGCACAATCTTATCGGGTATTTTAGGGCAGTGCTGGAAGTCTGAAATATCCAGATTCCCGAGTCAGCATTGCACCACATTTTCTGATGTTCAGTCTAATCAGACTTGTTTGTGTGAGATCTGCATTCACAAACAGCCAGCGCCAGCTTTATTTCTGATGCATGCAAACTAGAGCTGTCCTCTCCTCAAACCTCACACGTGGAAAAAAGTAATAATGAGGAACTATTTCCTTATCATGCTGTCCTGATTTATGAAGGCCTACTGGTATTCAATATTTTAGTGATCACACTTCAACAAGATCTCATTAATCATCAGGTACAGTAGGTGTCATTTTTATTTTTATTTTACCGCTGAGATGACTAGTTGACAAGCTCAGGATACGAGCCTTGTAAAGAAAGCATCAATCATGCAAATGCTCTCCGGGGACCAGCCTCTCTAAGCACACTCTGCTCATTCCCCATAATCAATAACCCACCAATGAGCACAACATCCAGTGACAGAAATCTGGCTGCTTTTTTATAAGAGTGCGTTATGGCAGCATCATGCTGACATTCTCTCCTGCATCAGCATCCATTTTTAATTATGGTATCTCGCTGCTGCTCATCAAGTGCATCAGCCTGCTGTCAGAGTTTGTGCTTGCAGAGAGGCATAAGAGCTCTTACTGCAGCTCTGTGGAAATAGATGTGCCGGTACAACTGCCTCTTCTCCTGGACCATCTGTGGAGTGGCAGTGCTGGGTGACTGTTATATAAAGGCATTCATAACAGGCCCTTTCTTTCCCACGTTGTGCTAACAAGTCCTTCAAATCATGTCTGTCTCTAAATGACTGTAACTGCGTGTTGATATTCATTGTCTCGCTCTTCCAGCTGGAACAGTTTTTTCCTTTTTGGTTGATGTCCTTGCTCTGGCTATTTAGCAAACAGTATATTGTAGGTTCAATTTGAATTACATAAAATCACATTATTTTATTGTACGGCAACAAGGTATTTTACATTAGACTACACAGTAAATATTACATTACATTACATTTAGCTAACGCTTTTACCCAAAGCGACTTACAATAAGTGCATTCGACCAAGAAGATACAACCTTGAAGAAAACAGAATCATATAAGGTTTCATTGAGCCAAAACATTTCAAGTGCTACTCAACTAGCTTTAGATAAGCCAGTCCTTTATTAGTATATAAGTGCTTTGTTAGTCATTCTATTGCTCGAAGTCGAGTCGAAAGAGATGAGTTTTCAGTCTGCGCCGGAAGGTGTGTAAGCTTTCTGCTGTCCTGATGTCAATGGGGAGCTCATTCCACCATTTAGGAGTCAGGATAGCAAACCCACGTGTTTTTGCTGATGGGAACTTGGGTCCCCCTCGCAGTGCGGGTGCAGCGAGCCGTTTGGCTGATGCAGAGCGGAGTGCACGCGCTGGGGTGTACGGTTTAACCATGTCCTGGATGTAGGAAGGGCCAGATCCATTCGCAGCATGGTACGCTAGTACCAGTGTCTTGAAGTGGATTCTAGACACATATAAAATGTCAAACTGCATTTCAGTCCATAAGAATTGTAAAAATGGGAGTTGTTCCCAATTTTGGATCTATCTACAGTATCTATCTATTTACTGTATCTATCTATCTATCTATCTATCTATCTACTGTATCTATCTATCTATCTATCTATCTATCTATCTACTGTATCTATTTATCTATCTATATATCTATCTATCTATCTATCTATCTATCTATCTATCTATCTATCTATCTATCTATCGTAGTAACGCTGCTTGGCCACTATGACAATTTGGGGCTAGCTGTTTCTCTTTTTTAGTTAACACAAGAAACTGATATTGATGCTTTTATGTAACTCTCAGTAAAACAAGCACATTTCCTAAAACATAGCTCTAGTTTAATTATCTCTAACTTAAGTCCCATATGGTCGTCATCAGCTGAGGGCAATCCCAATTATTTCTTGGCTAAATACAGCATAGTGAGTCATTGCGGGTGAGTCATTTGGTTGAAATTCAATTATCTGTGTGTGTGTGTGTGTGTGTGTGTGTGTGTGTGTGTGTCCTCAACCATTAAGGTCTCCACTTGGACTGATCTCTTCAGCCTACAATGTCTATTGCCACTGTTCAACATGGCGGTGGATCTGTAATGGTATGGAGAGCCATCTCGTGAGTCATTCGTCTGATAATTACATTGCCTCGTTGTATAACAGCCAAGGCATATAAAGCCATTTTACACAACCAGTAGCACACTGGGGTGCAAACACTGTTCCCTCTCGATGGTCCCATTTGGCAGATGAAATGCTCCCATACAGACTGCTAAAGTGGTTTCCGGAAACACCACAGTGATGGAGGGTTTTCTTCCTGAGAAAGGGTCCAGTATCCACTCCACTCACTTCAGGGTGTTGTGTGACAGCTGCACCAGTCAGACTGAAGCCTTTCTGAAGAAAAATGGTATCCCCTCTGCTTATTTGTTATTTATAATGTTAATTCATTCATGCCAAATGTAGAAATATTACAAATTAAAGTGGCAGCAGGAGATTATTTTCTGCTTCAAAGGATCATTTCAGGTAAATGTTGATTGCATGATGGAATGGCTTTAGAATAAGATCTTCTCTTGCATTAAGATTAGCTTAAAACCCTCATTTTTACTATGCAGTTTTGTCTGCAGTCTAATAGCATCTCCCGGGAAAAATAAGATCTCTGTTCAACTCGGAAAGGGAACGGATAGCGCTTGTGTTGTGTCGATACCCATCAAGGCAATGAAATAACACAATGGAGCCTCTGTCATGTAAACCAAGCAAGCCACTGAATTTTGTAGCCAATTTTCATAGTGGCCAACCGGTGCTACTACACTTCTGTGTCAGTCCGTGATGCCATTGGGCCCGAAAATACTTTTTCCGATTGATTTAACATTTGGAAAGAGACCTCTGTTAACAAGATTTTTTTTTTAATTAAATAAACTACTCAGCACAAACACTTGTATACCCCTCTTTGATTCATTAGGGTCAAAAAGTTGTGCTTGAACCCAAGTGCACACTCTCTCTGGGCCCAAATACAGGCACTGTTTTTTTCCGAGAGTCAGGCCTTTTTTGACTCCATGCACCGTTAGTTGGTTCCGTAAGAGCCAGCATGTGGGACCGGGATTTGTAGTCTTTCTAGTCTTTCTAGTTGCGTATTTTTCATAGTCTTATATTTCAACAGTTTTACGACAAACTGTGACTTTTTTGACATGGGAATAATTTTTTAAGATTGACAAACATCATATGTGTAATTCGTGGCACAATTAAAACGGGATCGAAAGATACGTTTTCTCTCCCCATTGACTTCAATACATAATTTTTCCGAAATAAGGTCCCATGGGTCGGAAGTAGATGGACGGGACTTCGCCTCTCTATAGGAACGAACGGGGTCCCGCCTCCGACGCTGTATCCAGATCTCTTTATACCTCTGTGTAACTAAGAAGTCTAACCTTTTTTACTCCCACATTGTCAAAGGCAGTGCATTACGGCTACAGTACTTGCACTCTGACCTTTCTCAATAAAAGTTGTAGACATACACTGGACAACAGCAATTTGAAGACTAAATAGCTCGTGAGTTATGCGGCTCAATCTTTACCTGGCTTTGTTGACGGAGGAGGCGAAGAAGGCGTTAGGAAATGACAAAACCCTTTCTACGAAGTTAGATAATTAACAAAACCTGCCTAGGCATCAACACTACCACATGTTTTATTTTCCTTTGTTGTAGTGCTTGGATCATGACTTTTACTTCAAATTCAGATTCTTATGATAGTTTTCTGACCGCTAGCGGAAAGCCACGTTGCCATAAATGGACAAATAGCGCAATGTACTTGTGCATAAAAAAGATATCACCATTACTGTTACGCTGTTTGTCCGCAGAACATCGGAAGCTTTCATTTGTCTTTGCGGCAACAATATACCAGTTGGAAATGCTATAGTTAAAAATATATTTGATTTCACTCCAACAAATGTAATTATTCTAAATGTTGCTAATTTATTTAAGCCTGTCCATTTATCATCGTACGAATTTCCACAATTTGTTAATTTAGCTGTGCAGGAGAAAAACGAGAGCACCAGTGTGCACTGATTAACTAACAAAGAATGATAATTTCGTATCCTTTATGCCCGTGACTCATGACTTATTACTGAGTTTGCTCATAGATTAAGGAGAAGGCCATTAATAACTAGCAAAGAAGTCAAATATGCACTTAATCAATCATATAAATCAACATATTTTTACATTAAAGCTATTACATTTAAGCTTGTTTCAAATGATT